TATCAGAACTGAATCTTACTCCACAGTCTGTGTTGCTTGAAAAATATATGCCTTTGTAGATGCGTTCATTCATTTCTATTAATGCCAAACCACAGAAATTATTTTCTTCTTCTGTTTCGGTCTCTTTGGGATTGCACATGCCATTTCAAATTGTGTGATTGTTTTGTAGTTAAATTTACTCCTAAAACATTTAAGATGTGAACTGATGAACCTTTTACTTGGTCTGTTTCATTGTTTATAGATTTACATTCATGGTGTTTTAGTAGTGCCAGTTGCAAGTCTACCTTTCATATAGAAATTTAACCTATTCACATATGCCAAATTTCTCTACTAGCGATTTAGTGATATTGTTGACTGATTTTCTTCTACCCCGAATTGCATTAGTTCAGATTTTTATATAAACTATTTTTTTAGTTTTACTCTATTTTTAAGAAAGAAAAAGGAATGAAATGTGAAGAATGCTACAGAAATAGTATGATTCAGGTCCATGAATCACATAATGCCTATCAGTGATCTATATCAACATTTCTGTTCTCAAAATATAGTTTAGATTTGGGCTTTCTTGTGTTTTTATAATTATCCTACTGTCTTCATTACATAATCTTAGTCTATAAAAGGATGCTTATAAAAAATCAAGAGTCTTGGGAATAGGATTCCCAAATTTATCACATAAAAATACTGAATGCCCAGTTAAATATGAATTTAGATAAACCATGAAAAAATCTTTTGTTAGCAATGTGTCCCAAATATTACATGATTTTTTTAACATAAATATATCCCAAGTATTTTATGGATAATGAATAATTTTTAGTATCGATGTGTCCCACATATCGCATGAAATTTATTAGTATAAGTATACGCCAAGTATTGAATAGGATATACTTACACTAAAAAAAATGATTCACGGTTTATCTAAATTCAAGTTTAACTGAGAGTCCTGTTTTTTATCTGACAACTCTACTTGGAAGGCATCATGGTAATGTGAGTGAACATATGTGCTTCTGGTACTTAAGTAGCTGTGTAGCCTTGGGCATCTCACTTAACCTACCTCAGCCTAAGTTTCAGCATCTGTAAAATGAGAACAAATACTAGGTTTTCTATAAATATTTGAAGTTATTTACTTAAAACACCTGGCACATAATAAATTTCCATTAAACACTAGCTGTTATTATCAGAACAAGGAAGAAATACAAACGCAAGTTACCAGTTTTTTCCATCTTCATAATAAATGACAGCACTCAGCAGTTAAATAGCCCATTAGATTGATAATGGAAGAGTCCACCTGATCTCAGGTGGCCTGGGCCTGCGGCGGCTCGAAGCAGGCTTTCGGTTCCCGGCCAGAGATTGAGGTCGGGTTTCCTATGGCCAGTTCTTTTGATTTGCCTGGTTCAGAGTCCCTGTTTGGCTCAGGATCCTCCCCTGTGTGCGCACGCGTCTCTCAGCCAAGATGGATTCTACCGAAGAGGCCTGTGGGTAGTTGGCACCACTTACTGCGGGGTGGCGCCCCCTCCCTTTTTGACCTCCAAGGAGCTTTCTAGCTGGGAAGGTTTCCTTGACTTCGAGAATGAGAAAAATGTGGTCTCCTATCTTCTAGCTGGGCAGGGCCCAGCCTCCTCTCTCAATTGTCCTGCTATTCTCATCTTGGAGTATTGGTCCACAGAGAATGAATCTCCAGTTGCTTTCCCTGGGTTGCAGGGGGTAGCCTGTCTACCTCCTGCCTCACACCCAGATGTTGGTTGATTGTTTACCAGATCAGAGATTTGACTGATAATAAAATGTGCACAAGCATTAACCTCCCTTCTCTCCTCTGCTACTCACCTTCTCTCATGTTACCAAAGATCATGCAACTTGTTAATATCAGAGCCTGAATGTATTGCCTTTGCACATTGTCTTTTTATTCTAAGTTACAATTTTATTTCAATCCTGCCTTTTTCAAACATCTACTTTTTAAAATTGTATTATTTTTTACTGAGATATAATTTACATATCATAAAATTCACCGTTGTGCAGTATACAATTCAGTGGTTTTTAGTATGTTCACAAGGTTCTGCAACCATCACCACTACATAATTCCAGAACATTTTCATCATGCCCAGAAAGAAACCCCATTCTCATTAGCAGTCACTCTGCATTCCCCCCTCCTCCTTCCCCTGGCAACCACTAATCTACTTTGTCTCCATGGATTTACCTATTCTGGGCATTATATATAAATGGAATCATAACCATATGTGGCCTTTTGTGTCTTCTTTCACTGAGCGTAATATTTTAAGGTTCATCCATGTTGTGGCATGTATCAGTACTTTATTCTTTTTATGCTTGAATAACATTCCATCATATGGATATATGTGTACCACATTTTGTTTATCCATTTATCAGTTGGTGGACATTTGGGTTGTTTCCACTTATTGGCTATTAGAAATGATGCTGCTAGTGAACATTCTTGTACAAGTTTTTGTGTGAACACGTGCTTTCTTTTGTCTTGGATATATACCTAGGAGTGGAATTGTTGTGTCATATTATAACTCTATGTTTAGCATTTTGAGGAACTCAGACAGCTTTCCAGGATGATTCATTATTCTACATTCACACCAGCAATACAAAGCATTCCAATTTCTCCAATTCTTCATTTATTATGATCTGTTTTGTTGTTTTTTATTATAGCCATCCTAGTGTTCACGAAGTGAACTGTGGTTTTGATTTGCAGTTCCCTAGTGATTAATGATGTTGAACATCTTTTCAAATACTTATTGGCTCTTTATCTTCTTTGCAGAAATATCTATTTAAATTGTTTGCCCATTTTTAGTTGGGTTATTTGTCATTTTATTGTTGAGTAGTAAGAGTTTTTATATATTCTTATCAGATATATGATTTGCTGATATTTTCTCCCATTCTGTGGGTTATCTCTTCACTCTCTTGACAGTGTTCTTTTTTGTTTTTATTTTTTCCTCCCTTTTGGCCACCCCACACAGCTTGCCGGACCTTAGTTCCCCAACCAGGGATCGAACCTGGGCTCTGGCAGTGAGAGTGCCGTGTCCTAACCACTGGACCCCCAGGGAATTCCCTTGGCAGTGTCCTTTGATGGATAAAAGTTTTTGGTTTTTATGAAGTCTTATTTATCTATTTTTTCTCTTTGGTTGTTTGTGCTTTTGGTGTCATCCACATTGTCTTTCTTCCATGAAGAATAAAACAAACACTAAACCCTGAGAAGAGAGACATGAGTTATTTTCCCAACTTTGCAATTACATAAATGTGTGACCTTAGGCAAGTATTTAAACTCATTCAGAACCCAGTTTCCACATCTGCAAAAAGAAGCTGGATTCAGCAGAGCAGAGGATTTGCAATTTGGGGTGAATAAATTAATCTCTATGAAACCCCCTATGTTAGCAGTTCTCAACCTGGGTAACATTTGGCAATCTCTGGAGACAATTTTGGTTGTCAGAACCGGGGAGGGGTGCTACTGGCATCTAGTCAGTAGAGGTCAGGAGTGCTGCTAAATATCTTACAAGACACAGGGTGCTCCCACAACAAAGAATTGTCTTGCCCCAAATGACAGTAGTGCTGAAGCTGAGAAACCCTGTTCTAAAATTATGACTCTATTATTCAAATTTATTTTACGTGGTAGTCTTTGAGTTTGTCTGCAGGAGCCAGATTATTTTGTGCTCTTAGCCTAATGTTAGATGTACTAGTGTTACAGGGGCAGGAGAAGGGGGAGGTACCAATAATTCTTGCAAGTCAAGAGAATTTTTTTGAAAGTGTTTTCAAGGCTTTTAAAAACTACTATTACCTTTTAATACGAAGAAAAAATATTTCAATATAGATACCTCCAGGCCAAGGCTTGTAGACGTATTCTTGTTATTGAATCCTTTTCTTTAGGATTTCTGGAACAAAATAGCTTTTGTGAGATAGTTGGTACATGCTGTGAAGTATGTCTGATGAACCATAAGAGGAAAAAAACCCAGAACAACTTAATGGAAGGAACTTGCAGTCGGTGTGTCTCTGCATTAGTGATTTCTCTAAAATGACTATTCTCTAAAATACTATTAGTCCAGCAGAAAAATTTACTCCAGCATTCTCCCATACGGTCTACTGGAATGTACTGATTACCTTGAGTTCCACAGATAATCTATCCAAAATAAAATAGACAATAGCTTGAAATATGCTTCAGCACTCTTAAAGATCTTGGCATGTAAAAAGCTATTAAACGTGCAGGTGTTTCTTTCCTGTAATAATATAGATGGAATGGTGACCACCTCCGCCACACCCACCCACCACTATCATTGTCATAGACAAGGTGTTCTAAGTATTTTATAAATGTATCTCATTTTTCTTTTAAAAATCTTATCACGTAGTTTAAAAACAACATTTTTCAGATAAGGGGAAAATGTAAAATAGAGTGGTACAATACCTGCTAAGCCATATTTTCCTATTCAACTTTTTCTTATGTATCAAAACTATTTCATATTTCAACCACAGAGACAATATATTTATTGTTAAAAAATCTGTGAACATTCATGTTTCGAATTTTCTAGCACCCCAGGTAATAGCAGTTAAAGCCTGAGTTACATATAATTTTTTTTCAAGAAGAATTATCTTACGATTATTTCTTTCTCTCAAAAGTATATGGGGGCTTCTCTGGTGGCGCAGTGGTTGGGAGTCCGCCTGCTGATGCAGGGGACGCGGGTTCGTGTCCTGGTCCAGGAGGATCCCGCGTGCCGCGGAGTGGCTGGGCCCATGAGCCGTGGCCGCTGGGCCTGCGCGTCTGGAGCCTGTGCTCCACGATGGGAGAGGCCACAATAGTGAGAGGCCCACGTACCGCAAAAAAAAAAAATAAATAAATAAATAAATAAATAAATAAAGTATATGAATGTACCTCAAAGCTGCTGTAATACTTTTCCATCTCTGAGCACCCACACTTGTGTGTATAGAATTTTAATGTTGCACAACTCCTCCAATGTATACGTAATGGAATAATTTTTGTTTAACTTTGTTTATTTGTACAGGAAGCAGTGAAAGAAAACAACAAGAGAAAAGAAATGGAAGAGAAGACTAGGAGGGCAAAGCTTGCAAAAGAGAAAGCTGAACAAGAAAAGTTAGAACGCCAGAAGAAAAAGAAACAACTCATTGATATAAACAAAGGTATGAAGTGCTTCCGTTTTTTAAGAAAGAGGTATGAAGTGCAAAATAATTGCACTTAATTATTGATAATTTTGAATTATAAAGTGAATAATGGTTTTGGTAGGAAATTCACAATATTATTAGTTACTTGTATCAAATGTCTTTCATGTTATTATCTGTATTTCTTTTCATCCTGCACTGAACACAGGCTTTTAGATAACCAGTGCAAGGTAATATGTTGTTGCAACACTCTTTTTCTCTTCATTTATTTTACCAAATCATATTATGTTCTGGATGAGGCAGTGGTAAGAGAAGAAGAGAGTGAGATGAAAAGAGAAACACTGGTCTGAGGAGATGAGCCTTATGGCTCTAATTTTATTTTGTTGACACATGTCTGTTAACAGTACAGTAATAATTAACACCCTCTCTTGGGGGCTTGAACATTTCAAGTCATGATGGATATTGACAGCACTGTTATAAGTTGCAAAAAAAATAGGGAGAAGCACCTTGTCCAGCTGTGAGCCTACAAACAAAATACTGATGTATCCGCATAGTATAAAGTAAGTTGTTTTCTTGGTTAGTAAGAATGACTGTATAGTAAAGGTGGATTTTTTTGGTTTGGTTTGGTTTGGTTTTCTTTTTAAAGAAGAGAAGGTAAGGAAAGAAAGTGATCAGCAACAGGTAGCTGCAACTTAAGAATGCAAAAGCATAGCCTTTGCCACTGAGGGTTAGAGAATTGAAAAACAAAACAAAATCTGAACAAGATGCAAGATAATATGATTAATATGGACCACCTATTTCTAAGTATAATGATATTAAAAATTGCAAGCACTGTATAATGTTGACTGTGTGCCATATTTTAAGTAAGTTAATCTTCATAACATCTCTGTGAGGTAGGTACTATTATTATCTCATTTTACAGATGAGGAAACTGAAGCTCATAGAAATTAAGGAACTTGCCAAGGTCACACAAATGGAAGTATTAGCAGCAAGATTAAAATCTAAGTAGTCTGGCAATAGAATCTTTGCACTTATAAATGCCATTGTCAAATAATAATAACAATAACAACAACAGCAACGGCTAACATATAGTACTTACTATGTACTAAGAACTGTTCTAGGAATTTTATGCATTTGAACATATTTAATCCTCATAAAACCCTAGTAGGAGGGTGCTACTATCTCATTTTTTGTTGAGGAAACAGACACAGAGAAGTTAAGTGAGTTGCCCAAGTTAACAAAGATAGTAAGAGGTAGAACCAAGATCTGAGCCTAGGCAGTCTGTGGCCAAAGTTAATTATTAATTATTATTACATATTGTTAATCATAGTCAGTTACTCTGTAGTAATGTCTCTTAATGGCGAATCTTCTGAAATAATATCTATACCGTTCTTCTTCATATCTCTAAAATACATAAAATTTTTCAGGAATTGACTGCAGTTTATCTTTTTTACCCAAGAAATAAATATAATTTTAAAAGATGAGAAAAGTATATAGAAGGGATACAACAAGGTCCTACTGTATAGCACAGGGAGCTATATTCAGTAGCCTATTAAAAACCATAATGGAAAAGAATATGAAAAAGAATATATATATATATATATATATATATATTTTTTTTTTTTTTTAAAAAAATGGTTATAATTAACTCGGGGAAAATGGAGCACGACAGTACTTGTAAGCCACTACACAGATGTGCCGACATCCCCAATTTTATAAGTGAGGCAGAATCTCAGTGCAACATTTGGGTCTTGCAAATACAAACACACACACACACTCACACATACACTCACATACACGCACACTTCAAGGTACCCACCTGTAATACTGAAGGTGTGGAGATTGAGGTGTTTTTCACTCCAGTGTTTCTTTGCTGATTCATGCCCACGCCATAAAATCCATGTTAAAGCCGAGGTCTTTCCCCGAACTTGATTATTTTCTGTCTCCTTGGATTGGGTGGGACATGTCTCACTCAATTAGGAAAAGTACTAGAGCACAGTATTTGTAGGAAGTTCTCGCTTAATAGGTGATGGAGTCAGTAGAACTGTGCTGAGTGTTAGTTCCCTTACGTGCATGAAGGACCACTGAGAGAAGAGGCTGGAAGAGGTACAGGACAGACTGTGCATTCACTTGGCTATGCTAAGGGTCTTACCCTGAGAGCTGTGGGAAACCTATGAATGTTTCTAAATGGGAAAGTGATATGCTTTTTTCTTAGAAAGATCATTTTGACAGAAGCATAGAGAATGGACTGGAAAGGGAACAGCCTGAGACAACAGAGGTTAAGAGGTTATCATTGTCCTGACAAGAGATGATGGTGGCCTGAACTAACGCAGTGGTAGTGAGGTTACAGAAGTCACCAGTAAGAGGTGTATTCGATTCTCTAGGTTGTGGATATGCAGAGACAGGTCTATCTTAAGGAATTGGCTTACGTGATTATGGAAGCTGGCAAGTCCAAAATCTGCAGGGTAGGATGGCAGCCTGGAGACCCAGGGAAGAACCAGTGTTGCAGTTCAAGTCCAAGGGCAGTCTGCTGGTAGAATTCCCTCTTGCTCAGGGGAGATCAGTTTTTTGATCTATTCAGGCCTTCAGCTGATTAGATGAGGCCCACCTACATTACAGAGGGCAATCTGCTTTACTCAAAATCCACTGATTTAAATGCTTATCTCATCCAAAAACACCCTCAGAAAAATATCCGGAGTAATGTTTAAACAAATATCTGGACACCATGGCCCAGCCAAGCTGACACATAAAATTAACCATCACCAGAGGGTTGTTAAAAGGTAGAACTGACTGACCCTGATGATTTTAGATGTGGGAATTAATTGAAGGAAGCATTAAAGAAGGTGGTACTCTTCATAAAGAAAAAACAGTTCAAGAATAGAGCAGACTTTATCAGGAGGGTTACAATGATTAGTGACATTCTGAAGCTGTTTCATTTTCAGAAACCTTGTAAAGATGGGAAATGTCTAAGAAGCCATTGTGTGTGTGTGTGTGTGTGTGTGTATGAAACTCAGGAAAGAGGTTTAGACTAGACAGACAGACTTGGGGATCATTGATTTTTGATGATTAAAGTTAGGGTATATTAGTTTGCTAGGGCTTCTGTAACAAAGTACCACAAACTGGATGGCTTAGGACAACAGGAATTTATTGTCTCACAGTTCTGGAGGACAGACGCCTGAAATCAAGGTGTAGGCAGTGTCCTGCTCTTTCTGAAGACACTAGGGAAGGACCCATTCCAGGCCTCTCTCCTAGCTTCTGTTAGTTCCTTGGCTTGTGGCAGCATAACTTCGATGGTCACATGGCATTCTCCCTGTGTGCACGTCTGTCTCTTCACATGGTGTTCTTTTTATTAGGACACTAGTCATGTTGGATTAGGGGCCCAACCTAGTCTAGTTTAAATTCACCTTAATTAATTACACAATTTATCTTATAACATATGAGTTTGAATGAGATCACAGGGTAAAGTATAAATCAGAAGTTCTGAAAGTATTTGGTCTCAGAACCCATTTACACTCTTAAAAATTATTGAGGACCTCCAATACCTTTTGCTTATTTGGGTTATACGTATTGACATTTATTATATTAGAATTTAAGCGGAGACATAGTAAATAAAATTATTTAAGAAATAATTTAAAAAGTATTTATTAATTCTATTAAAATAAACTATTATGTGTTAAATAACATTTTTTTTATGAAGTGTAGCTTTATCTTCCAAAATCTCCCCGTCAAAAAACTTAGTAAGAAGAGAAAAAAATAGTGTTGTAAATCTCTTCAAAATCTGGCTTAATGAAAGACAGCTTGATTCTCATACCTGATTCTACATTCGGTCTAATGCGATATTGTTCATCATGTAGCTTCTAGAAAGCACTATACACTCGTGAAGGAATGAGAGAGAAAAAGGCAAAAATGTGTCAGTATTCTTATGAAGATAGTTTCAACCTTGCAGATCTGAAATGATCTCAGAGGTCTCCACAAGTTCCCAGATTACACTTTTGAGACTCTCCGGGGTGAATAGTGAAAAGAGGAAGGAGTCAAGGCAGAGTCTGTCCAGTTTTGTGCCGAGAACATAATCTTGTTCCCACATCACACTGCCCCCGTCCCCGACCTCCACCCCAAGTATGTATCAAGCTTTCACTACTTCCTTAAAAACATACCTACAATAGAAAGAAAAAAAGAAAGAACCTATTTTGATTGTGTCTATAATATGTATATATTTTCATTTGCCAAGATTTGATTGATGACCTCTTCAAACATCATTGAAGGCATAGTATATAGATCCAAATAAGTCTTTTATGCAAATGCTTAGCTGAGTGATCTGAATGCGAAAGACACACTTTAAAATAGGATTAGTCTTTTGTATACTCTTACCATATCTCTATTTACAGATCAGTTAAATAATAAACTTCACCATTAGGTTCTTGATTTGTGGCCCATATGTGGCAAGTACTTATTATTATTATTGTTTTTTATTGTAATATTATTTTACACTTAAGAGTATGTGTTTGTTAGTACTTATAAATATGTTTTAAAAAGAGATCCTTCCATTGAAATTGTGCAGTCTTAAGAAGATGAAAAGATGCAGAAAAGAAAGAGTAAGAACAGAGTTGGGTAATTGGGTGTCAAGATGGAGCTCAGTGTCGGTGAGTTTCTTAGTATCTTATAAAAGATGCTGTTGTTAACTAGGTGGAAGTCAGTTGCAGATATTCTGAGAGCCTAGGAGGAGGCATGATGGAGCTACGTAAAAGGTGAATCCATGTTAGAAATGAGAATGAGGTGCCATAGAGAACTTTGAAATGTGTCCAACTAGAATGGTGTTATCCACTTTCCACTGAAAGAGAACTGATATAGAACATTTGATTGCCATTGTGAGATACATATAATTTAAACTGTAGAGATAGTTCATGCACATGTGACTAGAGATACATACCATTGGAACCCGGGGATCTGACCTATAACAAAGGTAGTCAAGTAAAGAGTCTCTTGGGTAAAGAAAGCCACTTGAAAATTACAAACAACTTTGA